ACAGCCATGACCACCACCACTGTCATCGCCACTTGGGACAAGTGCTGGCTCCTCCTCCTCCCTGAGCTCAGCAGAGGCAGCACTGGCAGGGGAAACAGGGGCATTCTGGGATCAAATCAGAAGCTGGGGTGGCTTTCATAATTGTGGGACGGTCCCTGGAATATAGGGACACTTGGAGGGTATGCATGCATGTCCGCACAGAGAATAATTTGCTGATTCTTCTTGTGACAGTAAAGGGGCTGCAAACCCCAGAGATAGAGGAGCCAGTTTTCTTGAAGGTATGCTGGAAGACTGTTGGGAAGTCCTTACAGGGCTGGCTCTCACACAGCGGCTGTGTCACTCCCATGCAGCCTCCCGTCATTTGGGTGAACAATGCAGAAGAGTGGCTTTTGTGCATCTTGTGGCTGCACCTGAAGGCATGATGTAATGCTGAAATGTTCATCGCTTTGCATGTTTTCACTGGGAAGCGATTCGCTCGTAAACAAACCCTTCAGCTGCTCCTGAGCACACCACTTCATCTACAACATTTCCTTTAAAAAAATGTTACCTGACAGCATGGCCATCTCCTGGCAGAAGGCTAATCCAGCTTTCTTGCTTTCTGCTAGAACCAGGCTTGCGCAGTTTGATTGCTGCTAGCAAAGCCCTGCAAACAGCATCATTTATTCGGAAGAAAGAACAGCCATATTTGGAACGGCTTGAAGGAACTGTGAAGGCACAGAGGAATTTCAACATGAGACCTTTTACTGGAGAGCAAATGAAGAAAAGGGGGTGTAACTGCAAAAAGGAAACCCGTTTTGTCCCAGCAATGTTCTTTGGGCTAAGAGAAAAAGGATAAGGGAAGGAGATTTGACAAATTTCTGGATTTTGTCATTTAAAAGCTCTGGTACAGAAGATGGTGCAAGTTCCCGACAGTGGCAGCAGGTGGCAGCATTGCCTCCCTTAAAAGGATTCTTTTAGTCACTAAGACAGCTGGAGTTTTTGTACTTTTCCTTAAGCCAATATATTTGTTTTTCCTTCTTCCTACAATGACTGCTTGTTGGGTTTTAAACACGGGATCCTGATCTTCATCTCCTGGCATATTGTGTATCCTATTGTGGCCACTGATGTTTACTCCAGGATTTCTGTACAGTGAATATCTGTAAAGGACACAAGATTGCCTTAAGTGATGGTAAAATGATATTGGCTAGGTGCTTGAGCTCGCTTGTCATCTTCCCTCCCTATCCTTTTTACCTTTTGTGTCATGTCTTTTAGACTGTAAGCCTGCGGGCAGGCACTGTCCAGTGTAGAGCATATAGGTAAATGATGAATTATACTGTAATTTAGAAAACGAGGTTGCTAACAAAATAAGTGACAACAACGGCAAAGGAAATACTGTCTTTGGAGCAAGAATTACGAGGATCGCTCATAAAAACGTGTCTCCCATTTGAGTATTATCTGTGGCAGCCAAGTTAAAACCACCCTTTTTACTGAGCTTTTTATACTAGTTGTAATAAATGTCAGGAATGGCTGCCCTGTCCCTTGCGATGGATTAAAGCACTGCTCTGCCGCATCGCAGTCTCTTGGCTCTTAAAGTTGCAAAGTTATTAGGATGACCAGCTTGAATGCAACTGTTCAGGGATGGTGGGGGTCAGGGTGGGAGACAGGTGGACCCACAGTTAAGCTGATGGCGTGGGCGCTACAACCTCCTTATTCCATTAGCTGCAGCTGGCTGGAGTGGCTGCTGATAGAGGCCAACTGTGAAAGAGAAGACCAATGCTTTTGTGTGACTGGAGGACTGCATTGGGAAGATCAGTGTTCAACTGCGGGCCCCAGAGTTAGAAGAATTCTTTAAGCCACCTGTCAAATTATGCCCGCCCCCTTCTACAAACAGGAGCTGAAGAAGCCATCACAAAAGGGGAAGGAAAGAGATCACTTCTCCCTACTTGTTCCCCCCTTGGTGAGCTGAGCACTGGCTAAGATGTGGCTTAAGTAAATCTCTTCCATTAGATGGGTTGATGATGACTATTCTGCTTGGTACAAACCTAGGTATTTCTAGGTGTGGCTAACCAGACGTGGAGCAAGCCTATTCTGATTACCTAATTTTAAATATATGAATGTCTCATTCTGCCCCTTCCTTGCCACCCAATCAGGTGGTTCTTTGAATTCGTTTGAGAAGTTCAGTAGTAAAATTGTTCTGGACCATTCAAGTGACTATAAGCAAGGGCAGGCAGACTTCAGGAGACGTGGGAGCCAGGCTAAGTTAATTGAATTTGGCTCCCATTGAAACCAGCGAGACAATGGGACTTAAGCTCAACTTACTTAGGCTGTATATACACTGTGCATTTTAAAGCACCTCCTCCAATAATCCTGGGAAGTGTCATTTGTTAAGGAGTGCTAGGAATGGTAGCACTGTGAGGAAGAAAACTACGCTTCCCGGAATTCTTTTTTGAGTGAGTGGGTGTGCTTCAAATAGTTCGGATTCAACCTTTCATTTTTACTGGAACCCTGAGACTGACCAGCCAAAGGTAGATGTAAAATAGCAACTCAGAGAAACAGACATATGCTTAGGATTAAGGAATGGGGTGCCTCTGAGTTCATGCTCAGTTGAGGATTTTGTTTTTATTACCAGAACTGAGCTCACAATCCTGTCATGGAAAAATCCACTCCTGTTTTACCCCCCACCCCCAGCAAGCATTTTAGCAGCATCATTTGGAGGTGGGGGGGGCTTTTTGTTTCTGCTCTACTGCAAATCATCTACAATATCTGTTAGTTAGTAGACCCTGATCTACTGTTAATCTACCCCAAAAAGGTAGGGCACAGAACAGGAGCAGGTCAGACAGTCTGGATGGAGATTCAGTGCTCCACTTTAGCAAATACCCTGGAAGGTGAAGAAGGACCCTTCCATTCTAGTTGCACAGGAGACCTCTTGTCTAGATTCATCAAGCTGTTGTTTGTTACCCTTTTTATCTGAGGAGACAGGTGTGGTTGCAGTGATTATTTGATAAAGGAATTGTGTTCAGTGCTGTCCTCTGGAAGTTTTCTTACACAGCACAATCTAGATTAGGGGAATGTCCATTGCACTGCAATGAGTGAGACTTTGCTATGTGCAGAGCAAGCTGTGTCTGTGGTTGAGGTTTCAGACCCTTTGGAGCTGATAGCTGTCAAGGCTAAAGCTTATTCCATAAAATGTCTGGACTTGGAAGTTTAATGGCAAGTTAGCTCAGAACAGGTTAAATCATTAACCTGGTCTACAAAAGGACCCTGTAAGAATTTACACCTCTGGATCAAGTCATTCAAGGTCTTGGACCCCACCCCCCACCCCCGTCCGAAACAAACCAAGGGACTGTGGGGAAATCCCAGCAGAAGAAAACAATAGCAGGTACCTTAGAACAGTGCTTGGTTCTCAGACAAGCAAAATTCCTTTCCCTGGAGCTGGCACAACAAGCAAATGGGCCCTGGGCTATGATTTGGGAACAAATGTTACCAGGTGACTCCACCAAATTTTAATCAAGGTGTGGTGAAACATTTGTCTGCATAAAGGGAAGACCTATGTTGTAAACAAAAATTGCCCTTTTCCCTTATGGGGTATCCAAGAGCCCATATGGAATCCTTACATAGGTTCCCTATTGGTAGGAGAAGATAACAGAGGCCAACCAGAGAATATTGAGAAGTAAAGCAGCTAGTAAGCTTGATCTTTATTGATCTGTTGCAACAGGGTACTCCCCTCACCCGCAGGAGAAAGGAGGAACCCAGAAAAATGGCGTGCAAGGCCTTATAAAGACTTTTGAAATTGCCACCCTGTAGATCAAGACCACCCCCAGAAACATCATACATACATCACAGAAGGGGTGTAACCTAAGGCCACCCTTCAGATACATCATACCACAAAAAAGGCGGTCTAAACAGAAATTTGAATGTTGTTTTTCTCCTGTCGTTGTTTATCTCCTGTCTAGCAGGTTATTTGACTGGATTTCCTGGGGAGCCTGGGCAGTCTTTTGTAATGATAAATACTTAGTTCCTGGGCCAGGTCACAGGCTCACACCCTATTCATATCTTAAATGTGCCCTTAAGACAGGCTTTGTGAGGAAAGAGACAATGGAAGGTTTCCCACTTTGACCTTGCAGAGAAAACATTTGCTCAGTTTAGGAATCAAAATGGTTCCAGGTTGGTCTTCCTGTGCTGATCTATGTACGTGCTTGGTTGGTACGCTTATGAACATTACCATATATCTAAGACCATAAAATTCCTATCAGACCTACAAGATCTAGTGATGGCCACCAAAGTGGAGTCTATCAAAAAAGGTTTATTCATGATTTTTAAAATAAAAAATTCAGCGGCTCCCTGTTTGTGGAATGCTCTCCTCAGGGAAGTTTGCCCAGCGCCTTCGTTGTGCATCTTTAGGCATCAGGCAAAAACGTTCCTTTTTAACCAGGCCTTTGATTGATCTGATTGACATCCTATGCCCTTTTAAAATGTGGCTTTTTGGGGGGTGGGGTGTTATTGGGTTATTTTGATTATATGTATTGTCTAGGGGTGTGGGACCGTGGTCTAAATCCCTGAGCCTCTTGGGCTTGCCAATCAGAAGGTCAGCAGTTCGAATCCCTGTGATGGGGTGAGCTCCCGTTGCTCGGTCCCAGCTCTTGCCAACCTAGCAGTTTGAAAGCATGCCAGTGCAAGTAGATAAATAGATACCGCTCTGGTGGGAAGGTAAACAGCGTTTCTGTGCACTGCTCTGGTTCGCCAGAAGCGGCTTAGTCATGCTGGCCACATGACCCGGAAAAACTGTCTGTGGACAAACGCTGGCTCCCTCAGCCTGTAAAGCGAGAAGAGTGCCGCAACTCCAGAGTCGTTTGCAACTGGACAGGGGTCCCTTTACCTTTTTATATATATATTGTGGTTTTTATGTTGATCTTTTTTGTGAACTGCCCTGAGACCTCCAGGTATAGGGTTGTATATAAATTCTAATTCTAATAAGAAGAAGAAGAAGAAGAAGAAGAAGAAGAAGAAGAAGAAGAAGAAGTGTTGTCAGTGGCTGGTAGCCATTTTGATTGTGCACTATTTTCTCCAGGATCAGAGGTAGTACATCTCTGGGTTCCAGTTGGAGAGAGTGCTGCTGTGCTCATGTCCTGCTTCTGAGCTCTCCACAGATGGATGGGAACAAAATGGATTAGATGCTCCCTTGTCTGATCTAGCAGGAGCCATCTTATATGATTATAAATCCTTTCAAGTTGTAAGACAGAGATAATAGAATCTTAGAATTGTAGAGTCGGAAAGCACACAAGCGTTATCTAATCCAACTCCCTGCAATGCAGAAATCTCCACCAAATTATCCCTGGCAGATGGCTATCCAAACTCTGCTTGAAACCTCCAATGGAGGACAGTCCACCACCTTTCAATAGTAAACATTTTAGCAGTAGCTGGAGCTGATGGGAGTTGCAGTCCCAGCAATATCAGGAAGGTCACAAGTTCCCCATTCCTGATATAGAAGAACAAGTCTTGTGAAGAAGAATAAGCATGGCTTCTCCAAAGGTACGTCCTCTCTAACACTGATGAATTTGTTCAGATGGTTGATAAATATGTGGAAAGGGGTGATCCAGTAGTATCCCATATAAATTCTTTCTCCTGGTTCCTACAGGTAAAAAAATCCTGGTATTAGTTTCTTTATTTACCTGTATCATGCCTTTCCAACCTAATGTGACTGCTTTGGGCAAATAGCACAGAGGAAAGGGTTAAACACCTACTTTCCCAGTGCTACTGCTTTGATAAGAATCAGAGATGCTTGTGGTTGCTTTAGTTTTTAAAAAAACAAATCAGGAGATCGGATCACAAATTTCCAGCATCACGCCATGAGTGTTTCGGCCTTAGGTGTGAGGTGCCACTGCTTGTTAAAACTTGTCCGTTATCCTGAGCAGAGACTCATTTCCCTTCCGAAGAACCACAGACTCTCTCATGAGGCTTCTCTTACCCTTGCCAACACATCACCCAAGGAAACAAACAAAATCCTGTAGCCAAGAAGAATTAAAATCCCTCCCATAAATATTTCCCTGGAGTTTATATCCAGCACGTACACACTCCTACACACAGGCACCGAGAATTAGTAAAGATTTATTGGTGTAAGAAGGCATGGCGCGCCTCGGGATATAGTCACTGGCAAATAGAGTGATGTCAAATACGGTAAGGAACTCATACCTGGTTTGAAACCTGTAGTTTCAGAAGAAGTGATTTAATCTCAAGCATTAATTTGGATTTTTAGACTGGCTCCTCCTCCTCCTCCTCCTCTTCTTTTTCTTCTTCTTCTTCTTCTTCTCATCATCATCATCATCTATTTATTAATTGCCTTCTAAACAACTGTCTCAAGGCAGTTTAATTAAAAACTGTTAAAGACAGAAAAAACAGCAAATATACTTAAAACAAGACTAAAACCCCAACAAGAGGACACTCATGGCAAAACAAAAACAAAAACAACCCAACCATTTACCCATCTGGGAAAGCCAGTCAGAACAAAAACTATCTTCAGTTGTTCCTGGAAGATGCAGATAGTGGGCTCCTGTCCTATCTTGACACGAATACTATTCCCCAGAAGAGAGGCAGCCACACTAAAAGGCTGGCTCTGAGAAATTTGGATAACCATTTAGAAGGACATAATGAGGCCAGTTCTATATCTTGGTTTCAAGCGGCCCAGGAGGTTTTCATCTGCTAGCCCCACTAAAACGTCTATCAGCTTTCTGAGCATGCTACTTCACAAAGTTCCCTTTCTCACCTGCTCTTCCTCCGAAGCTTTTTTAAAAAAGACCTCTTGCAGCTCAAAGATGCCATCAAGAGACTTCGTGCAAGGGCCATGAACAGACCAAGGAATGAGAGCGACGCTGAAACATGTTTAAATCTTGAACTGAGCCCTGAGAAGGTTTTGTGTAAGAAATATATATAAAGCTAGATCTTCCTTTTAAAGCCAGGGTGAAACTCTAGCTTGCAGGGATTATTAGGCCCGGATGGGGTGGCATGCAACTAAGTTTTACTCAGAGTAAACCTATTGAAATCACCGGACCTAACTTAGTCATGTTCATTAATTTCACTGGGTCTACTCAGAATAAAACTTAGTTGAATGCTGCCCAATGACTGTAATGATAAGCATTGCCCCATAAGTGTCCCAGTACTCAAATTGTAGGAAGAAAGGCTGCTAATGAAACACATAAACCAAGCCAAGCCCCCTAATAGGCTTCTAAAAGCACTGAGTAAGTGAACATTCACAAAAAGAAAGAGGAGCCATCTTCTTCTGGCCTGGCTTTCTGATAACTTCCTCAGTGAGCTGCACTGCCATCACCCCAAACACCATCTTTCTTTCATTTCCCCTGGATCTTAAACTTTGGGTGGCCTACCTGATTCAAGCCCAGTTTAAACATAAATAACCCTAAGAAAGAAGGGCAAGGACCTTCGGTAAGGTAAGGCAAAGGACCCCTGGACAGTTAAGTCCAGTCAAATGTGACTATGGGGTGCGGCGCTCATCTTGCTTTTCAGGCCAAGGGAGCCGGTGTTTGTCCACAGACAGCTTTCCAGGTCATGTGGCCAGCACGACTAAACCACTTCTGGCGCAACGGAACACCGTGACGGAAACCAGAGTGCACAGAAATGCCATTTACCTTCCCACCGCAGCACTACCTATTTATCTACTTGCACCGGTATGCTTTCGAACTGGTAGGTTGGCAGGAGCTGGGACAAAGCAATGGGAGCTCACCCTGTCACGGGGATTCGAACTGCCAACCTTCCAATTGGCAAGCTCAAGAGGCTCAGGGATTTAGACCACGGTGCCACCCACATCCCCAGGGACCTTGGACGTACAGGGAACACACCTAGAATGGGCAGGTGCTCAAATCACCTGGTGGTTGCAGCCTTTGCCTGCTGGGATGTATAGTATTTCTATTTAAATTGTAATAATTACTTCTGAATTTGCACCTACTTTGTTGGGGATGCACGAGCACTCACCCTCCTCACACTTCCAGTTCGTGCCATTGACTTCCATGCTATTGCTTTAGCCCTCTGTGTTGATTTCGTCCCAGGCGCCTGTGATCTCAAACCCTCCCTGGCTTCTCTCTCAACTTCCCGCCTCCCCTTCCCTCCCTCCCTACTAGTTTTCAACTTGTGTTTTTGGCAGAAACGTTGTTTACATTTCTCACTCGGCCATCTTCACGTGTCCCTCGGGTTGTATAACAGTTCAGCTGAGGATAATATACAGAAACTGGGTTTCCTTCTCACCAGCTGCAGATGATCCTAAACTGTGGGCTCTTTATTCTCAAATGGTCGTACTGCCTGGAGACCCTTTTATGGACACAAATAATGGGAAGACAGTGTAAATGGAGACCACGGAACCTATTGCGGTGATTGTGATCTAATATAAGTTCCCTGAGGTGAAACTTCTCAGTGTGCTGTATTCCCATTCATTGTTTTTGTTGACCCTGGTCTCTCATTTTCATTACAACATCCTTATTTCCCCCCTTGGAGTTTGGCATAAGGAAACCACCTGGCAATGAGCCGCTGCCTAGCATCACTTCTCTATTTTGTTGGGGCTTCCCCAGTCTGGTGTCTTCCAGATGAGGTTGATCTCCAACTCCCATCAGCTGCAGCCAGTGTGGCCATCAGTGAAGGATGAAGGCAGTTGCAGTGCAAAACATTTGAAGGGCACCAGGGCTACATACACATGAGTGCAGAGCTTTCCAAACTTTTCATGTCGGTGACGCACTTTTTAAACAGGCATCATTTCACAACACAGTAATTCAGTTTTACTAGCAAACTGGAGGTTAAACTAACCCATTTCCAGCCCCGGGAGGAGCATGGGGAGCGTTCACACGACACACTGCAGCCGACACACTAACGTGTCGCGACATGCGGTTTGGAAAGCTCTGTGTTAGTGGCTCAAAATGCAGCAAGGCTTTTCCAATCCGGAAGGGAAGCAGGGTGTCTTTGCCCAGTGCATATCACCCGATTCAGGGCTGTCTTTAGCATATGCACCGCCGGGGTGCAAAGATCTGCCCAGCGTCCCCATCTTTTGAGGGGGGCAGGTCAAAGTTGTTGAGATTTTTTTAGGGCCACAAGTCTAAGTTGTTCAGCTTCTAAGGAGGGGAACAGCGAAACCCGCTAACATGAAAAAATAAAAAGTGGCAGCGATAGCTTCATCTTCCGTTTTTGTGATCATGTGGAAATGAAAGACACCACTGGGGTGCTGCCGGATGCATTGATTTTGCAGCTCTTCCACAAAATTGAACGGAAATGACCCAGCGATCAACTGTGATCATGGTTAAGAGCTAAGGCGGCTTCAGTGCCCAGGTGCCCCGCACCCCTTGCACCCCCCGGGTAGAGACGGCCCTGACCCGATTTGCTTCCCTGCACCTGCAATCCCATTCTATGCAAGGAAATCGTCATCTGTGCATTTGCTGTCAGCTGAGCATGTGCAATCACATCAAATGGGGGTATTTCTCAAGAAACTCCAGGGTAAAAATGGATTGTGACCAGGGCTTGCTTTTCAGCAGGAACTCACCAGAACTTAGTTCTGGCACCTCTCAGGTGGGTGCCATTGCCATTCTAAGGGAATGAGGGAAGTGTTCATGGTGAGTTCTGGCACCTCTTTTTCTAGAAAAACTGCACTGATCGTGGCTAACATTATGTGTTTTGTTGTTGTTGTTTAGTCGTTTAGTTGTGTCTGACTATTCGTGACCCCATGGACCAGAGCACACCAGGCACTCCTGCCTTCCACTGCCTCCCACAGTTTGGTCAAACTCATGTTCGGAGCTTCAAGAACACTGTTCAACCATCTCGTCCTCTGTCGTCCCCTTCTCCTTGTGCCCTCCATCTTTCCCAACATCAGAGACTTTTCCAGGGAGTCTTCTCTTCTCATGAGGTGGCCAAAACATTATGTGTACTTGGCTTCAAACATCAGGGGTTGGAGTGCGCTGGTGCCAGAGTCCATGGTAATGTGTACACAACCCAGGTTTGGTGAAGTCATGGACTCTTGGAAGGGAGTTGGAAGGGATCCCAAGGGTCATCTAGTCCAACCCTCTACAATGCAGGAATCTTTTGCCGAACGTTGGACTCGAACCCACAATCCTGAGAGTAAGAGTCTCATGAACTATCTCCTTAATCCTCAGTCTGATCTAGGTTGTATCTTCCCTATTCATGTAGAAGGGGGCAGGATATAATGTTAAAGGTGCATGGATTAGGGCAGCTCCACTTTATTTCCCCATGGCCTGTTGCCGCAAACATTTTCCTCCTGACTGAGCTCACTTTGGTATGGGAGCCAAGCTGGGAGGAAAAGTTGTTTGGCCAATGAGCCAAAGACTCTTCTTATACCTATATGACCCACTGCCCACCCCCCTGCTTTAGACATGAACAGGGTAGTCAGGCAAACAACAAACATGGTTGCCACCATCAGCTTTGGCTCTTGGCCTGCTGCGTTCCTGTCTGGAATTCAGCCAAATTTTAAAAAAGAATATGCATTGCAGTTCATTGTGTGGTCTTCATTTCCTAGAACCGTCGAATTAGGGAGGGAAAATGTTCTCGCTGTACAGCACATTTCCTGAGCAAATGCTTTCTTTGCCAAGTGTCTCTGGAGAGGGGTGAGGAAAGTGCAGGGAGGAGACGCTCTGGCTGAAAATGCTCTTAGGGTACAATCCTAGGCACAGTTCTTCCAAGGTGGTTTTTTCTTTCTTTTAATCGATAAGGATTTGCTTCAAGATAATGAGTTTGGGACAGAAAATTTTGCAATGCTTTGCTTTTCATAAATGCATCCCTTGGCCCTGCTACAAGACAACTGTGCTTGAAGGACCTAGAGGCATTCGTAATAGGCAGTGCTTTTTTCTAAAAAAAAATATATGTTTAGGGGTACTCTCATTTTAAGACATCCCTCATTCACCAATCTTAACATTCAAGGCCCACTCAGCCTATGAGTCTACTTAACCCCATCTTTGGCGCAAGGCAGAAAATCCACTGCTAGAGAAATCCCCAGCAATTGGTTGTCCAGTTTGGTTTGAAGACCTTCAGCTAGTTTCAGGGCACCTGCTTAGCACAGCACCCTGTAAGGAGCTGGCTCTGATCTAGCAATAGATTCATTTCTTACTAGCAAAAGGAAAACCGCCTTCTTTATTCATACACAGGATTCTCTCTTCATGCATTCATATGCATGTAATTATGTTTTTACATGTGTTGGAAGCCGCCCAGAGTGGCTGGGTCAACCCAACCAGATGGGTGGGGTATAAATAAAAAAATTATTGTTCTTTTATATGCAGTTTTTAAATTGTTTTGATACATGCAGTAGTTTGACATATGTGTTCAATGCATTATGAGACATTTGAAAGGAAATGATTCATAACTGAAATAATAATAACAATATCTATCTTATCCACTTTAATAGCCACTCTGAAGGAAGAATAGGTGAGTTGATCCTAAATACCTTTCCTCCCAAAGCACAGCCCCAGCTATTCTGAAATGCAAGAGGGGCAATGTCCCACTACCCAAACCCATCCTCCTTCCATGGCATCCTGGCAGAAAAAGGTGTCTGAGGTTTCCTTTACCCTAAAGTTACACACAGAATCTAGCAAGGCTGCTGACCAAACAATCCTAGTAGTCCATTGCTGTGGCTTCAAGAGAAACTATCCGAGGGCGATTTCTCAATAGTCGGTTGCCAATCTCTGACCTGGGGATTAGGAGGACATTCCAAGCTGCACTTGCTCAGTCCTTTTTCCAGGCAGGTTGGTATTTACAGGAGGCGGAGGAGACAAGAAGATACAGCGGTGGTGGGAGAAATATCCTATCCTGCATATTTTCCTTTCCTTAAAAGGCAAAAGTCACAGGCTCTGTCAGCTCTTTGTAAGGTACAAACAGCTAATTATTTACTAGCCTCGTAAGCATCTTTGGGATAAAGTATCAAGGGACGAGGGTGTGGGAATGATAAAAACAAGGTGTGAAAGACCAGCAGCATGAAGGAGAGTTTTTTTGCTATGTGAATACAGACCCAAGCTCATTATTCTTGTCTGAAATATTTCACAGCCTCCTCCAGCCTGGTTCCCTCCAGATGTTTTGGACTTCAATAATCCATAGTTCAGACTAACTATGGTTTGGATAGAATGCTAAACTGTGGGTGAGCGACGGGGTTGGTGGGGTGTGTGTGTGCCCCAGTTTGCCCTCTGAAAATGTTGGAGGAGGGTAGGGGTTTGAGTGCCCTGGTTTGTGGTTTGTTCCAGGCACAAAGCAGCACACCTGAAGAGTGGGCACAGCGTGGACTTGGCAGCAGAAGAGAATGGGGTTATAAGGCAGAGAGTAGAACATTGTCCCTCAATCCAACCTGGTCAATATTCCCACAAGTGCATCAACAATCTTTTCTGATATGCCGGCTTGTACTTTGAACATACCATAGTTGTTTGTTCCCCTAGTGCAGGGGTCAGCAACCTTTTTCAGCCGTGGGCTGGTCCACCATCCCTCAGACCATGTGGTGGGCCGGACTATTTTTTTGGGGGGCGGGGGAATGAACGAATTCCTATGCCCCACAAATAACTCAGAGATGCATTTTAAATAAAAGGACACATTCCACTCATGTAAAAACATGCTGATTCCTGGACTGTCCGTGGGCCAGATTGAGAAGGCGATTGGGCCGCATCCGGCCCACGGGCCTTAGGATGCCTACCCCTGCCCTAGTGGTATCGCTGTGTTGTCTCCTCATCCTCTTCTTCCACTGCTGTCATCTTTCCCTGAAAGTCCTCAGCTGCCCTTTAAACTGGCTCTGACATGGTGCAGTCTAAAGGTCGTACAGTCCCAGGGCCTGTGTGTGTGCTGATCCAGGCTGACCTTGTTTGCTCTCTCCCTTCAGAACAAGTGAAAATAGAGGAGTTTCTGCTGTCCACCAGGCTAGATGTTTGAAAGGCTCTGAGCTTCCACACTAAAGGGGGAACCTTTCCTCTTGTAGTAGTGTGGGATGTCTCACGCACACAATATTGTTGGGTGAAGGGTGATTGCCGCCCCTGTGGTCTGGTTTAGTAGCAACTGCGGAGGCATGTATCTGTCAAGAAGATGTGATTTGCATCTATATTGCAGAGTACCCAAAGGAATCTCAT